GGATTAATAATCGGAACAAAATGCTTCAGTAGAGATATATAAGAGTAGCTTGATGCGGATAAAGCTGCTAGATAACCATTCCGAGATGTCTCCAACAGAGGTTTTGTTACCTATTATCAAGAGCATCTTTGTTTCAAGGAAAACAAGCAAGATATGAAAATCAATAATTGAACTAAACCTCCTAGTTAAATACCTCCGGTCCATTAGCAAGGGAGTGCACAAGAATGTCAATGCTGCCAAAGTCTTGCTTCACAGACTCAGCAACTTCCTGCAAGATGGTTTAAAAGTAGCCAGAGCATTAAAATTGGAAAAATGCAATTATGGAAATACATCAGATAGATTCAATGAAAAATGACTCCAAGACTTCATCAAATTTTGGCACAGTTGATTCTTGAGACATGCTCGTGCATATAAAACAAAAGACACTTTCTACTACTTGGCTTTTGGTAAACTTCAAATTCATTCACATGGACAAGCTACCATATTGTTCAATATAGCTTTTCTATATAGAAGCATTGGATTGGAAGGGAACTAGTGTGTGTACCTTTACAGTCCAATTTGAGGATCCGGCATAGCGTTTATTTGTTTTTATCTGCGTAGATGGGAGAAATAAACATGTTTAACACAGAAAATCAGAGCATAAAAGATTTATCTAGTCAATTAGAGATTACTAAATTACATCTTCAGGAACATCTTCAGGGCTATCGAAAACTGCATCGAGAGGGTATACTTTTGCGATCTCCATAAGAGAACCATCAGGCAGTCTGATCAAACAATCGTTAGGAGGGAAATAAAACTTTATTCAAGTAAGGATAAAAATAAGAATGATATCTTACACTCGTGATTCATCGAACTTTCCACGTCTGAAGCTGGATTCAAAAATGTTCAAGGCCTAAACAAGAAAATTTTCAAATACTAAACATTGGCATACCAGAGAGCCAAAAAGATTTATGTTTTCCTTGGGTAGAAGTGCAAAAAAGCAATTCATCAACCATCTGAGTTAGCTATTTCACTTACAGGCACCCATGTGCCGACAAGAATTTCAGCACCAGCCGCAGCAAGAGATTTTGCAATTGCCCACCCATATCCATTATCATCAGCTACACCAGCGATAAATGCTCTCTTGCCTACAGATAAAAAAATTAGGTTCGTTGAAAACTTTCATGTTATTTAATTTTCAAGTATTTCATTTCATGCCTCGTTAAGAGAAGAAAAAAAAAAGACAACCCCAGATGCACGACATGAGAAGTCATGAAGTAATAAAAAACCCAAATTCCCCTTGTACATCAAATGTGACAGGTCTTATATCATAACGGGAATAATAGTCGTTAAAACTATTCATAAAATATAGGTTTTTTTTTTTGGGGGAATAAGAAACCAAGCTTTCCTCGAGAGAAATGGCAGAGGAACGGAAGTGCACAGGAGCATAAAACAAAAAAACCAACCCTCCACAAAAAGGGAGTACAATTCAAAGTATGGTTATATTAGAGTTTAGCGGGGTGGCGGAATAATCCACGAGAAGACTGATAGGAATCACGACTCTCCACAATGGTATGATATTGTTCACTTTGAGCCTAAGCCCTCATGGCTTTGTTTTCGGCTTCTCCAAAAAGCCCCATACAAATGGAGATAGTATTCTTTACTTATAAACCCATGATCTTCCACTAAATTAACCAATGTGGGACTCACTCCCAATAATGCTCAACAATCCTCCCCTCGAACAAAGTACACTATAAGCCTCCCTCGAGGTTTATGGAGCTCTCGAACAACCTCCCCTTAATCGAGGCTCGACTCCTTTCTCTAGAGCCCTCGAACAAAGTACACCCTTTGTTCGACACTTTAGTCACTTTTTTACTACACTTTCGAGGCTCACAAAGTACACCCTATTGTCATGGCTAAGTTTAGGGCATGACTCTGATACTATGTTAGGAATCACGACTCTCCACAATGGTATGATATTGTCTCTTTGAGCATAAGTTTTCATGGTTTTGCTTTGGGCTTCCCCAAAAGGCCTCATACCAATGGAGATAGTATTCCTTACTTATAAACCCATGATCTTCTACTAAATTAACCAATGTGGGACTCACTCACAGTAATCTTCAACAAAGACACTATGGATTACCGCAATTTATTAAAGGCAAGCAAACCGAGAAGATAGAAACAAATACAGAAAAAAAAAAAAAAAAAAAAAAAAAAA